TTTCTTGTCAGTTGATTGTGTCGATTATCGAATTCCATTTCCCTTTCTGCAGAGACTGTGGGTTGCAGTTCTCGGCTAGTGCTTCTGATGATGCTGATATTTGTGCTGTTTGCTTGGAGAGAGCTTGTACAGTTGCTTCCGAAGGTGAGCCTTTCTATTATTATCCAATGCTACATATTTATTAGTGCCTTTTGTGAAAGCACACTTTCGTTTTTAACTTGTTTTATTAAATTTGATCGTTCATGTTAGATTCTAAAATTAAATGTCCTGATCGGCCATTGGATTGAGGCAAAAATGGCATAAAACAGTAAATAAATCGCCATAATATCATTAAAATTTCAATAATCTTTCTGCATTGCACTAATTGTTATTATGCACATCCATATTTTGTTACTTTTTCAAAAGTTCAATACTTTCTTTTGTCGTTTACAATTTATCGACATATCATACCTCAGATTATTCATCTGTCGACCATCTCAATTCGACATTCACGTTTCCTGTATAAAAGTTAAAAAAAAAATGAAAAACACGACAAATAAAAAAAAATATCTGACGGCACATAGAATGAATGACACATTATTCGAGATCCATTTCAACTTCAAGTTATTGCTTTCCAATTCTATTATCATCGTCNAAAAAAAAAAAAAACCCTCAATACACCAAATATTCGACTCGAAATATTTTCACACACTACAACTTTTTTTCAGGTTGCGCGCACGAACTATGCGTGAGATGTGCTCTCTACCTCTGCTCGACCAGCAACATCCCTCTCGAATCGAACATACCGCCCGGCACAATCCCTTGCCCTCTCTGCCGCCACGGAATCCTGTCTTTTACCCGACTGGCGGTGGGCCCCACCGAAAAGGAGATCAAAATTACGATATCGCCCCTCGGCTTGTGCACGCCTTGCATGCTCCACAACAGAGAGCGTGACCCGTCTGAGTCGACCCGCCCGCCCGACTCGAGAAAAGGGAGACGGGCAGATTCGGATTCTATCTCGTCCGACATCTTTTGCCCCGTCACTTGCAGCCCATTTCCATCTGTGGCTATGATCCCTCTCTGCACGTGCAAAAACGGGCCCTGCCCAAATTTTGATGTTGGGCCTGGGGAGGCGTGTTTGGATGGGTCAAGGCCCGTTGTGCCAGGCGAGAGGGAAAATATGGAGGGGATAAGATTGGAGAAAACGACTTGTTCGAGTATGTTTTGGGGGAGGAGAAGCTGCAGCAGGGAACACCAGTGCAATGCTGAGATTAACGCGTAAAGGTTAAATCTTTTTCCTCTTTTATTGACTTTAATATTAATATAAATCATGGGTGGATATCGATTTTTGAGCTAGTTTGAGATGTGTAAGCGTGCTTGTGATCGTTGGATATCGATTTCTTCAGCCGATCCAATGTGTTAGCAGCTTGTTGACAACTTAT